AATAGATAACTTATAAGTTATGATAATCATATATTACGAATTATCAACATGTTATGTTATCAAAATGCTTGTCTGTGTCGTGTCTAGGAATTTAGAAACTTAAATATCTGTATAGTACGATGCTGCTAAGTTACAAAAGGATCCGTTACTGTTACAGCTAGAATCTTATAAAATGGAAAGTCGTAAGACTTTTTCGGCATTGCTTCACAAGATCATTCAATTACTCTGCTAATATATGTACTGTTCTACTTTCAATAAGTCAATTAATTAGTAGCAAAGGGTGAGCTGCATTTCATGAAAAGTATCACCAATCAACCTCAAGATCCACCACAATTTAATTCTTTACTGATATACTTATAAAGTACATAAAATGAATCTCCAGTGTTTAGTAACATTAATGCAACATGATAGGCCAAATATGAAATTAAAAGTCGACATATCTTCATTTAGTATTGAAGTTTCGTTGCTTTTAAACTTTATGTGTCATTGTTTCTTTACACCGTAACGTGGAATGATATACAAATAAAATTAATAGAAAATTTATAGACATATTTTAGCATGGCATTAATTAAAATTTAGCTAATCATCACAAGAACATTAATCTTACTCTCCAATAGAATTTTTGATATTTATTTGCTCTATAATACTTAAAGCCTGAATGATATACTGCAGTAATTTTTTGATAGATCAATTGTAATTTACGTTTACTAATGGCTTAGGCATAGAATTCGATTCGATATAATTATTTAATATGTATCTTTGTAGATAATATGTCTTTATAATATCATACAAGTAATACCAATTGGTGTTAAACCACGTTCTATTTAGAATATAATAAAATTTGATGTTCCATATTTAGTCTAAGTACAGTACAGCATTACCGTGGCCACTGGGCTATTCGTAGGAGATGGTCAATGCTAAAAGCGATACAGCAGTAAAAAGTTTTCGCCACAAAGCTAGTATTCGCGGTATTTTCTATTTTTTTATTAAAACGTCGTCATGAAATTGATTATGACATCGGTCAAAAATAGGCGAAACCTTATATGATATTCTTATTAAGTCTTGATGATGTAATAGTAGCTGGTAATAAAGGGTTGGATTGGCAAAGAGATCATAAATTAATTATTCTTAATTAATTTATTGATGAGATACAAAAAAGGGCAATGAGAGACAAAATTAGATACATGCAATGTAATAGTTTTCCAAGTCTATTATAGACAATCTTTCTCTAGAATCAAGTTCATAAATAATATTTAAATAGGCCGATGGTGAGGTAATGACTTTCAATTAATGGTGCTATCGCATAAAATTATTAACCAGATATAGAAATATTTTCTAAAATATGATTCACCTTAGAAAAGTATCATTAAAAATCAAAGATTGATTATACGGTAATTTCATTCGAAATTTCTTCAATTGACGGATCGATATCTATCTGAATTGATTAAAGAGGCGAGTCGACTAGTTCGGCAATAAGCTTCAGAAAGAGTTTAACTGTTGCCTTAAAATACTACCAATTTACTGCATGGCAGATTTAGAAGAAGACAGCTTCATTTTAGACAAAATTAAATACAAGCTAATACCATTTGAGCGTTGATACAGCTATAATACTGCATTGCTTTTTTGAATGTTGAGGACAACATTAGAAAGATGTAGATAAAGTAGTTACATAATAATACCAATTCTAGTCTAAAATTAATCTACGTTGCTTTGTTAACCTCATAAATAGCAGATTAGTAGTTACGTCTATTATTTATAAATTTTCATTTGAGTTATTCCTCACGATCTCGAATTCAAATTAGCTTTAATTAGCTTTAATTTAAAGATAGGCTTCTTAGAGGTGAAATAAGAAATTAATTACTGTATATCGATGTTACAAAACAGCTTTGCAACAAGATCTACTCTTTCAGGAATACTTTTCCTATACTAGTAGACTACAAAAAGACTTAGACGCCTCGTATCTTACGTTAAAAACTAATCATAAAAATTAACTTTATTATACGATTCATCGCATTTATACACTCTTTTATAATAGCAAAGGCATCCTAGTTAGTAGTATTAACTTTGAAACCTGATAATCAATCAAAAACTAATTTTATCTACTGCTACCTAATGAAAACAACAGTATTTACGAACATAGACATCGAATGACTAATGCAAAATTGTCAGATTACAATATGCCCTATCACGTAACATTTCTACGATAATCTAAAATCTACCATAAGCAAATTACAATCACAGTGATTTGAATAGTAAGAAGATTATTTTCGATTCCCTAATTAAACTACTAATTTCAGTAGGCTGTATGTATCACTATAAAAGCTAGTGCTATATTTAAATATTACAAATCTAAATTAGAAACTCTCCATATAAGGGTAAATCAACAAAATTATCCGAACATGTTTCTACTATAATCTCGATATTACAGTGTATAACAATCTAACAATTGAATACTACAAATATGAATTGAAAATATAGCTATATTAATACCCCTAATTATATTAAAAATATTTTAAAATCCGGCTATAAACGTCTTATATGAAAAATTACAATAGTATATTAGAAGATTGATGTTAGCTAGTCATATTTCAAGAAAATTTAAAGTTGTAACATAACTAAGTAAACAGTAGATTATAGAATATAAGCTATGTCTAGCATGATGTACAGCAGTGTAGATTTCTCTAAATATTTATTTCAAGGCATATTTATTAGCACAAAACCATGGACTGTAATTGAAATTCTATGTTATAGTATGCATGGCCATACGCAGTAGAGCGTTGAATCACTATAAGTACCAGTGGTAAAATAGGTACTTAACTCATACCTTTAGATATGGTTAGTTCATCATACTTTTTGCTAGCATAAATAATGTCAGTATAAATACTGTAGCTTTTACCATATTAGATTATAGATGGACTGCTATAAAATGTTGTTACTAATAAGTAGCTCATTAACTACTACCTTGCTAGAGCTAACAATTGTTTAGCCTAGCAGTATTTGTTGTTGTATAAATAGTTGTAAAATAAGGTAGAGTGTAGTTATGCCGGTTGTAGCTGCAAATGTTACGAAAAGAACTTAAGCGGGCAACTTTAGGTTATTCTGTGTTCTGTTCAGAAATCTTTCTAGAAGTTTTATTCTGCTAGAGTGGGCTTTGTACAGATTATCTTCGTATAAAGATCTAGCAAAGTTCTAATTTTCTATAAATTTTGAAATTTAGTGATCAATTATATCACACAAGTCCATATATTGAACGCTATGTCTAGTGATGGAAACTATAGCTACCTTTGAAGTTTAAAGCGCTTTAAAAGTGTTTTAGGTTGAAGTGTATTATATTAAATGTTATCAAAAGTGATTAAACTTATGATGTGTTAAATTAAAATAATCAATTATTAAAAAAGGATTCAAATATCATCTACGATATTCTTGTTATGGATGGAGATTGAAAGCATATCAATTACTAATTTAAGATTTCGATCCAAATTGCTTAAAATAGATTCAAGCATCATTGCATGGATAAATATTCTGAACAAGAGCAGATTATAAATTATGACCTGAAATTACTGCCAGAAGTTGATTGTATTAGTTACCACTATTATAATGCAAAAGTGGTACAAAATAAATTACAATGATGATTGCTGAATTTGTTGCAGCTTTGGTGTAATCGATTAAGAATATATTGAGACAGTTGAAATAGTTTAATAATTTAATACAATTCTATCATTTCTATTTATTTTCTACTTTTATAGTCATAGTTGGAAGCTAGTTGAGAGAATCTTAGAAATCCCTTATTGATTAACCTAAGATAATAAGATTAAATATTAAGTAATAGCATTAAGATGCTTGTCAAGATGATTGGAAACTTGTTAAATTCAGTTAAATTTAAGATTAAATCTTCTACTCAATGAAAATAATACTATTTTGAGCTATATTTATAATATCACTAAAATTTTCTTACAGATTGTTGGATATCATCCCAACCTTAATTATTTTTACGGACGTAAAGATAGTGCTAAGTATTCATTCAATTTACGTTTAGTATTTTTTAAACAATTTGAAATTGCTTTGATATCTGTTAAGAGTCTTCGAAACAGTTAAAGAAGTTGATAGAAATAGGAAGAAATATTCAATCCAATGAATGTATGAATCTAGTTATTAGATCAGTCAAATCGATTTTGCCACACTTATTATGGCTAATTTGTAAAGACAGAATTAAAATTGTTTTCTTTGTCACTATATAATCAATCCATCAATTAAACAAATTAAAAGTAATCAAGTAAATAATACAGGCAATATGCAATTAACATATTAGTATTTCTGGTAATCAAAAATACTGTTTATAAAATTATAAGATTCGCTTCTCAATGGTTAGCTATCGTCTAAAAGAGTTAAGAATTAGTTCCATCTGAATAAGTGTATAATTATAAAGTATTCTACATCTTGATTAACGTGGCTGGATTGAGGTTATAATTAGACTTCATCGAATCCCATTAAGGTAGCAATTATTTACATCAATCCGTGATGTTGTCGAACATATGCAAACGACCTCAATCTCACGGTTGAGAATTAATAGCGGGCAAATTGGAAATATCTAACAAGATTTTAGTTAAATGTGGAGATGTTGGTGACATTGGGGGCGTAATTACTGGTGATTCGCCTGGCGTTTGTGGTGGGCTAGGCCTAGGAGATCGGAAAATGCCCTGTTTTAGTGCAGGATCAATCGATAGATTACGCGTCATAGTTCGTTTTTGGCTATCGTGGGATAGGTTATTTGGGTCAAGATCAATGAAGTAGCAAGGCATATTGAGGCTTTGATTATAATTTTGTTCAAAAAGGTAGGGAGTTGTATCTGCAATCGACCTAGATTGAATTATTGTTGAAAGGTCAAAAATATCAGATATCAAAGGTACGCTATCTCAATAACTCAAAGTCAAGCGATATCATTTACTCTACTGTACTAAGACTTATTGTTAAAGTTGTATTGATGATGATTATAACATTTCTTACATTTTAGTTGTTTCACTGATATTAATTCTTCCCTCTTGACTGCCAGATTCAACTTTACTTGCATTAGTTACCGTACTACCGAATAAGCAATATCGAGGCATTTTCTGTCCAACCACGCCAGCTATAGCAGGACCGGAATGGATACCTATTCTGATCTAAATGTGGATTTCGATAGAAAAGGATTAAAAATTCAATTTCTGATTGGCCGATTTGATTAGCAGTTTAAAATACTGATGGAAACTTATTTGACTTATTTAGTAAGTTATAGCTGTACATAAAGATTTAGATAACACCCTAGATCGCTTGATTGATCAACGGCTAGCGTTTTCTAATTACGCTTTAGCTTGCAATAGTAATTGAAATTTTTTCATTGATTTAGTATATTAGGATGTAGAAAAATCGATAACATACTATATCAGCTCATCAGTAGAAAGCTAACGTTACGTAGCTTTTATTCTTAATTGAAAATTACTTATTTTATTAGATATCTTACGGTCTTATAATAAAAAACAGATAATACTGAGAGGCTTCTAAAGTACGAAAATTCAAGTACAAATAGGTTTGATAAATAGCCAGGATTTTCTAATTGCCTTTAAACCTCGGGGTAAAAATAGGATTTCATTTTATTAACTTTAATGTAATGCTTTTGTTCACCGTTATTATCGTAAAATTTCTTTTCTAGTATGTTGCCAAAACTTAAAAATGTAATTATAGTTTACGAGTATGAGTTAATCACATCAAGCATCGTTATAAAGCCTCTACCATACTAATTGAAATTATTTATTTTATTTAGTACCGTACAACCTTAGAATAGAGGTCGATAATGCTGAGTGGTATTTAAAGTGCGAAAATGTAAGTGTAAATAGGATTAATTAGTAGACAGAGATTTACGAATTGCCTTAAACCTTATGGCTAGAATAAAAATATTATTTATTTAACTGCTAGTGCTATTCTCCTATTCACTATTAATAAAGAAATATTTCACTCCTAGTAAGCCACTGAAGCTTAAGATGCAATTACGGTCTACAAACATGTGTAAATTATGTCAAGTGTCATTATAAAGTCTCTACTCTAGGTGTAATTATTTTAAATGATTAAAATAATCTCTGATACTGAATTACTAAATTCTGAATTAACTCATCATTGTACTGTATCGAAACTTGCTGCTCTATTAAGATGTTTTTGTTATACTTGTTAATGTTTTCTATTTCTTTCAACGACTTTTAATTGTCATACTTTCCCATTAATTAATCACATTTGTTAGTAATTATATAATCAATGATTGGAGCATTTAATAAAATTCGTGTATAGAGCTGCGGATGATACTAGTAGAATCTGAAATTAAATCCATTTTACCGCAATTTAGTAGCTATCTTATAATTAAAATATTGCTCCTGTGGATAGTTATGGTTAAGATAATAGTTTATCGTTATCGGTACTGGTAGTTAATACTCATTTGATAATAGAAAATTTAAGCGATATGGTTACACTAATTCGCTTAATGATATCTAAATATTATAACTTTTACCTTAATAGGCGATTTATCTACCGGCGATAGGACTCCTTTGGTCACATCCATCATATCGAATGCCATACTTATTACCTTATTAGCATGATTGAAACATGGATCAGGCACACCACTAACTATCATATACGCATCGCCAATCGTTTCCACCTATTCAGTTAGTGATAAATTATAGCTATAAAAAAATTGCTATTGAGGCAAGGATAACTTTAACTTTCATATCTTAAGCTCGTGAGGTTGAAGAAATATCTTACAACAAATATAAAAACACAGCTGTAAAATTTGCTACGAAACTAATAACTATCTTACTTTAAATATATTAGCAAGGCAGATATTTCGCTATCCCAATAAGCTGCAGCTATATAAACTGCCACTTAATCATTAAAGATCACAGACTTAAAGGAAAAATTACACTAATGCAGATTATACAGTACCATTATTTTGGCTAATTACTCTTCAAGATAAAGGTCAATTGCAGTTTTTCCACACTTTTATACGAATACAAATTACCGCATTTAGTTACGCATGGTTCCCATTACCTTACCATCACTGCTTTCAATGATCTAATATTGACTGTTACAGTATGCATATTCTACGTTACTATTCTCCATATGTGCTCTATTTCATAGGTATAAGTATTAGTGATATCTAGTTCATATTTCTATTATTGTTACAGTTACCCATTATTCTGTGATGATTGTTAATGATTTTTACTCATGTTTCATGTTATTTTACAACAGCTAGCAACTTACCTACAGTAACTACTTTCAATCTTACACGATCACAACACACAATAATAAATTCGCTGTCCTACTAAATTATATTTGTTTCCATCTCTATAGCTACTAAATCAATTCTTACTACGCTATCGGATTCTCTATCACAACTAGAGAAGTACATGAATATTTTAGCGTAGGTAATAATTTTGATATTCCAAAATATACAAATTTACGCAGCGATTCTCATTTTATGATACATATATAACTTGGTTCAGCTTACCTTGTAGACATCGTTAAAATTGCACAATTCGTCAAAGCTCAGGTATAATTCATCTAACATACGTACAACTTGCAATGGATCAATATCTGATGATGAACATAATGCTGTAAAACCCACGATATCGCTAAAAAGTACCGTAACCATGGCATAACGTTCATGAATGGGATCTCGAGGAGCTAAACGTAGTTGATTGACAATACGAATTGGTAAAATAGAATGGAGTAAATCGTCGGTACGTTTTTTATCTGCCCTTAATTTTATTTCCAATATTTGTAATTCATTAGTAGCTTGTTCACGTAATTGAACTAAATCACGACGATTACGCTGGATATGAGACATTAGCACAACATCACGAGTTGTATCATGGATAGGAAAATCGCTTAGAAAGAATCCTTGCTGTGTTAATTCTTCCAGATTACTAAACCTTGGCGAGCACAGAAATAACATGCTATCAGATTCATGAACATAAACCATTTGACCTTTTAATTTGATAGTATTAGAAACACAGTTTCCACTCTGACTATTGTGACGATGTCTACCATTACTCGTATCATCTGTTGCAGAATTATCAAAATTTTCGCAACTTTGTTGTCGATGGAGTTGTTGGCTATGATTAGTATATTGTGGTTGATGTTGGTATGCTGCTGAGTCTGATAATTCATTGATTGTAGAGATAATGAAAACAATATTTATATGGCTGATAACATTTTTAAAGTTAAATCTCATTTGTGGACGATCCAATTGAAATAAAGTATTGAAATGAATATTAGCAGTAGGTAAATCTGCTGGTAATTTGAGTACACGACGGATTGAATTGCCAGCTTGGGTTATTTTTAAATCACGATTAAACACAATATGAAAAGGGAATGCTTGACAAAACGTTCCAACTTTAATGCGTACTTTATTATTCGTTGTGATGGCGGTATTGGAATTAAATGCTGGTGGTGATGATAATGATCGATTAAATCGTACAGGTGATTGAGGTGCGGTTGTTTGGATAAAACTAGCATTAGAACTGGAACTATTGGCTTGGGATATTAACATTTGAACATGGCATTTACCTTTACTGGTTGTTGAAACTGATATCACTTGAATTTTAACTTCAGCATTATGAATTTGTTTTGCTGCGGTTTTAACTATACCAGTGACAATTGGATATAGACCATGTCGTAGAGAATAATAATGCAAAATGATATTGCCATCGAGTGATGAAGTACAACGAAATGATGGTGCATTCATACCATGATAGCTAGACCCTAAATGATCATGTAGAGCGTCTAAATTAAATAAGAAGTCATATAGTGTACTGCCTAATACCCGTAAGATGCGATCATAACCATTATCTACACAATATTGGAAGAAATGTTCTCCGAATTTCTCCAACATATCTTCCATTCTGCTGCCTATGAAACATATTGCAATATGTATAGTATTTTTAAATTATAGAATTTTTTTATCAAATAATACTTTCAATAGCTTATAATTATAACGTGTTCGCTAGATTCTAGAAAATCGATGTTACTAACTATATATTAATTATCGCTGAGCCTATACCGATATTATCATTGAAGTAAACGATACTATACACAATATGTAATTAAATTTATAAATTTATTCTTCCTCAACATTTATAATAGCAAACATAACAGCTAAAATTTTTAACTATTCAATGGTAATTAATACAACTGCAGGTACGTGGAAAACAATCTATACGCACTATCTGATAAATGATTTATTACACATATGTCCAGTAAATATCTAAAATATGTAGTTAATGTATGAAAATGAATCAATTTCATCAACTGAGAGAAGTTAATGTTTTCTTGCTATAAATGTACTAATGATGATAAAGAGTGAGAGATTTTTCTTAAGGTTCGTTTATACGATCAATGCAGACGAGTACTTCGAGTATTTCTTGTTTGTGTTCTGATCAAAACCTTCAAATCCTGGTCCGACGAGACACTCATCGATGTGTCAATGAAAATATAAAAGTTTATATTTTATTAATTTTTTGTCGATGGTGATGTGTCTCGTTATAATATTTATTGTAGTAAACTACAGAAATGCAAACACTGACGTACAACCACAACAAGAATTTAACGTTTTCTTTCTGAACTTATCTCGATCCTATCAACGTATCTTTATCATACGCGAACTTCGAGTATTTTATGTTGTTTATCAGTTTGCCGTGGGAGTAGTGTTCTGATTTCTGTAGACTTTAGGTTACAATTTTACAATTTAAAACTAAAAATCTAGGGATTTCATGAGTATTTATTATAAAATGAGTACCCTAGATCTAGTCGGCTATGATTTTAATACATTTTAAATAACTCAAAATATAAATGATGGATTTTGGTATTATTCCTGCTTTATTACTCAGCACAGTAGATTTGAGAAGCATCAGCCTATGCAATCGCCGTCAAAATACTAAATTTGGAATAGATTGCACTTATGAAATACAAAAATATAATCTTCTAGCATTGCTGCTTGACATTAATTATTAATCATAAACTGTTACCCACATACTAATGCGAGGGATAATTGCTTTTGCTTGCCTTTCCATTAATTAATTAATCATTCATTTCTGACGTCATAAATTATACACCAAATTAGACATTTTCCAAATTAATTAGGTTTTAACAGAATTAAACTAAGACTATTTTCCTAATAACTTACTGTAAATATAATATTGTTTAACTAGGTTGTGATAGTCGGTATAGATGCATTCATATTGAACCTGGTTTACTAACCTTAATGATACTTGCTAATATAAAAATTTTATATAAAGTCATTTTTGATTACAACCAATACATTATTTAAAAGTAGAAATCCATAAATAATAGCAATACCAGTACTTCAAGGTGAACATATGCAAATAGATGTAATTAGTTAGATAGACAATATAAAATATGGTATAAATAAAGTTAAGGAGTAGAGCTGAGCGATTTAGCAAGTACTGGTACTTATTTCCGTTCCGCCAGGTCGATTGTCTAAGACATGGGTATACCCCGCAAAGCTATACTAGTTTTTATCCCCTCTTAAGTGCTTAATACAGATGTATTATGACCTAGCTAAATGAATGGTTAATTATAAAGTTCTTGAGAGTATATTCATAGGAACGAAAATGAACTAGCCGGTTTAGATTGCGATAACGGTTAGTATAAAAGTCGAAATGAATACTTAGTGTTTATTTCTAGTCGAATTTGATATATTGGGGACAATTAGTACTTTGTATGACGATTTTATTATAGATTTATCAGAAATAATTGCAATCGCCTATTGGATCTTTATCATGTTGAGTTTGGGTTATCATAACGTTGATGACTAGGCATCGACCCTTATTAATTAATTATCAATCTAATTTAATCGGTACATGTAGATGATTGGACAACGATGACGAAAACAGCTGTAAATGTAAGTTGAGGAGAATTAAATTCAAACTTTATGACTAAAGGTTATAAACTAAACTATATATGTAAATTAAAGCTTAATGAATGATATTACCATTCTTCGATTGACTAGAAAATAAGTATATGTATACGAATGTAGGTTTGCCAATACAGCTTCTGTTATCATAGTATTACGATTCCATTTTAATATACGTAGGTATTAATCATGACTGAATGGGCCAGTATAAATTGTTACACAATTGAATGAAATTAATATCATTAAGAACGATAAAAGCGACTAGCATTAGGTTCTACTTGATCGATTACGGTGAATTACTAATCAATTATGACAATTAATTTACCTAAAACTTCGCAAGCGGTCGCTACCAACTTAACAGTTAATGCATCATCGTAGCTTTGATGTAGTAAGAAAGCTCGGCTTTCTTCTTGTATACCAGCTTTATCACTATAATCATCAATTATCAATAACAATATTTATTTATTAATTTTTGAATTCAACGTAACAGAATCTAGTTACAATAACACTGTTAAGATAGTTCTGCCACGTATGAGTAGCTGGTAACGCAACTACTTTAAATATTATCATTAGAATCATAAAAATGCGTGTAAATCATGGAAAACAATATAGAATTATCTAAATTATCGATTTTAGACGGTCTTGTAAACCTATAAAATCTATAAAACATAAAGCCTATATGATAGAAATTGATGTGATTATATTATTAACCTGAAAAGGTTAGGAAACTTTCTTTAACTACATGGTATTTAAACTTCGACTATCACCAAAGAATGACTATTTTTGAGCATGATTATTTAGATGGAGAATTAAAACTGTTGCAAAAAGACTGAAAGTCTGATGAAGAGAAATAGCCGAATAGTCTAGCACTTTATAAACAAATCATACTGATCGTGATAGTGAATTGTTGTCAATACTGTAAAATTACAAAAATAACATCATATCGATGATTATTTTAATGAATAACATGTGAAAGATTTCATGAATGCTTCAGAATTAATTCGTTATACCGATTTAGAACTATATCTACTCTGGCTATTCAATTTTCTAAATCGATAAGGAAATGTCAGATACTATGTACAGCAATATGTATTGTAAAGTTGCATTATCCATAATCTTGCTAATTATTAGAATAATCAAGTTATCTCTTCAACCAGATGAGATCATATTGTTCATTTCCTAAGATAATTTGTTCAAGTCTTAATAATATTAGTCAAATGCAAGCTGTATGAACACATAGATTGTAATACATTATGATGATCGATAAGATGTTTGCGTAAGAACAACCACTTCAAACGAAATAGAACACGAAATGGCTGTCTTTGAATTGCGACTATATATGCTAATGATGGCCTTATCGTTGTAGCTATTCTACAGGCTAATGACGAGTTGAGAAAATGATGAGATATTACTAATTCTTCAACTCACAAATAAGCATTCTCCACAAGGGTGGAGGTAAACCTTGCTAAGGATTAATTACATAAATAGTATCAGCCAGTTATCTAAAAGCGCGAAAATATTTGACTAGTAAACTACTTTAGCCATGTAGGTGTAGCGGTAGATGTATCCTTAATAAACAGGGGCGCATGAATAATCAGGCATTGCAAAGACTTCAATAAGCTCTTTGCTATCATGTGCCATCGTAGTACAAGGCCTTAAGTATAAAAAAAATGGAAAATATTCCGCTGCTAGTCAATATTTTAGTCACTACAAAATAGTAGCCTATCATCACTTCATAAAGTTTTCGAGAGAATGGATGAATTTTATTCAAAAAGAATTGATGGTGTAGTATTTTATGATGATAATCCATTTCTACTGTAGATATGACCTAGAGCTTGATTATTATCTTAATGAAAACAAAACCTTTCTTACTTACATGATGCGTTTCCATTCTTTTTCTCCATATTGGCGTACAATTAAATCTTGTAAAGCACGATGTATAAAACCATACTAGAAGATTGAATTGTAAGCAAATGAACTCCGTTTTAGATTTCAATCTCTGACAAGGCTCAAGTGTATTAGTTAGGATAACAACTTCTAAGTGATTGTTGTCACATTTAAGTAGAAAAGGGAATGGCAAAAACAATAATTGGCTAACGAAGGAAGGAAATCTTTAAACGAACTGCATTGTTCCCTCATGCAGCCATTATGAAAAGTATGCAACATTTGCAAATTCGCATGTAATAATGTTAAACTTTGAATCGATTGAAACATTGTAGTGGTATTAAAAGTAGCAAAATTAGAAAAAAATTGTTAAATCGATTAAGGTTTAATCTTTCATGGTTGATTGAAATAACCACCGTACTTCACATTATTGTCTAATCATTTTATAGGGCGGTGATAGGCAACAAATAGTCTTCGTAGACATTGTATTCTAGACTGAGTGGAATCGATAGACAATTTTCTAAACATTGACTTAGTTCAACATATCGAGATCGAATTTTTTGCTACGCTTGATAAAACTGTGAGAAAGAAAGAAAGCTGTCTGATGTTTATAAACTTTGAAATGTGAAGGTGATGATTACTATTTATTAGATCGATTACAGTGAGACATCAATAAAATAAGAAATAGAACATGGCTTAAAATCATTAACATGATAACTAGGCTTTGATAAGAATTCTTACCATCCTGATTGCTGGCCTGTAAACTCAATGATCGATTATCAGACTATTATATAGTATGAAAGAGGTTATTGATGGTTTCACGCTTTGCCTAATCATGAATAATCATTATCACCAGACTTATTATGTCCAACTTTTTTATGCCTTACCTGATAATCTAGCCATCACGTGGAAAATTGTCTGCGCTTGCTTACATATCAATTCGACCTATCACCTCATTTGATAATGTAAACAATAAACCTTTAGATAAGAATAGATAATGAACGAGTTATTAATAGATAAATGCAAGTTGATAATTTGTTGTGACAGTTGGATGACCATGCATTATTTTACAATCAATTGTTTTGAAGGCTTTATGTGTCTGACTATGACTATTCCCGTCGTCAACAGAATGTAATCGACATAGTAACCAGATAATTTCAGCATAAGCAGTCACCTTTTTGCATTTATATTTAATGCAAGGAATCTATAATGACGCTCTTATTGTCAATATTCTAATAAGAAGATTTCATTACTGCCTAATAATGGCAGACATGATTTGGATAGATATCGATGGGAGATACAGGTAAAAATACTATTATTAGATATTAGAAAGTCTAATTTTTCCCAGCTATGTAAATGCCTCAACCAAATGAAGATCATGAAAGTACTTCATTTGGTATTGAAGTATTTTAAGTTATTGTGTGTTAGGTCCTAAAATTGCCTTCGAACACTACGTCTCAATCAAGAACAGGTTAATCAAGCTTAGCTTCTTCTCATTAGAATTTGAGATTTCTTTCTTGTACTACATATAACATTGATGAATACAAATGGAGGCTGAAGGCTTCTGCAAAAATTAATATTGGCGAAGTTAGCAATTTTAATAACTAAATTTACCTATATTTCTTATTGTTTAGCAATCATTGTTTCACAGCATCGGGTATTGTTAAAGATTGCAGAATTCAAGCAGAGGCAGGTAGTAGTATCTTCATTTTTTTTTAATAAACGCGCAATAATGATCTTGAGGTCAATAATCGTACAATAATAGTTCTACACTGCCTAACAATAGTAGAAATGCATTGGATAAATACTGAATAGGAGATTTACGCTGAATAATCACCAAAGTAAATATAAATCTGTCAAATTTTATTTGCAATACGTATAGCTGCAACCTTTTCAAGATGATAAGGAGTAGTTGATTAGCTGCTAAAGGCTTTAATTTATTGAGAGTTTGACCTAAAAGTCTTGCCGCTAAATATCGTATCTCGTTCTGGAAATTAATTGATTTCAAGTCTTATACATTCTATTTAAATTTGAGATTTCAAGTTTAATTTGTCCTAGCTTAATTATTTCACAGCTGAATTTATGAGTACCATTCAAAATATTAATTTTTCTGTATCTTGCAAGCAACTTATGCTTAGTTTTTAATTTAACGTGTCTCATAGATTCTTAATAGGTTTATAGTAGTTGCTTAAATTTATGTTAGCTATTATTATTTGTAATTGAAATAAATAATTATATGATTAATAATTATCCGCCAGCTCACCTTATATCTATTTTCTTTGTTTAAAAATCAATTTTAATAAAATGGAGATCCATTATAGCGGTTAATTTATTTTGTGCTGAATTTCATGTCGATGTGCGTTACCAACTACACATTACACCTCATTTAAGGATATTCTGCGTGGGTTTGGCTCATTTTCTTTCATAGTTGTAATTTCTGATATCAATATTTAAGAATACGTACGGTAATAATGTTTGTACGTAGTGAAAGCTGTTTATTACGACAGTTACGTAATGTGCTTCGAAATTACAAGATATAGAAGCTTATTTGATCTGCTCTTGACTTATGAATTTACAGAGCTAGTAATACTGGATTGTAATTTAATTCTTACTGTATATCATATCATTGGCAGAATGCAGATCGACAATTGAAAGATTATTTTGAACAGCTATACTAATATCTGCAGGAAGAAATTTTAGTGTTTACAGAGGTCCGAAAGAGCAACAATATCTATTTATAATATCCGGACATTCTGGTTAGCTATATTGCTATGATTCAAATGAAGTTCGAACTATTGGCTTTGGCTCAACTTAATGATACTTTCTGGCTTCGTCATAATCGCTATATAAGGCTAACATTTATCTATCAGTATGCTAATATTATAATGCATCGATAGTCGAGTTGGCTTACTAGTTAACTTTTCTTTCAGGGATTTATGAAATAACTGTACTGGTCTTACAATTACAGAGTGTGTATGGACGCTACTACATACAGCTTAAGTTATTTTTGGCTGCAAGATGGAAATTATAAGTTGGATTTCGCCTGTTTTGCCATAGCTTATTAATAGATGCACGTATTAATTATTCACTAATATATATCGAAACTGTCTGTAATTGGCGGATTACTTGTTTGCAAAATTATAATAACACGACTAATGAATTTTTAACCGTGTTCATAGGAAGATGTGTATAAGTGACATTTTCAGTTAATACGATTCATCTCATATTATCTTAATAATTCTTTAAATTAAAATTTTCGCTTTATCTTTGACTTCATCAAATAATTCTAGTATATGCCCTGCCTTTTATGTAATTGTAGTAAAAGGGTCAAAAATGATTTAATTAAATAACGTAACATTGTTTAATGCCAATTACATACAGTATACTACCTAATACATCGGCACTAAACTATGAGTACTAGCTATCCAATAAATATCACACCGGGAAGAGCTTATATACCTCTGATTTTATATTTTGCACATTCTTCG